TTGGCTGGTGCCTTTGTAATGCGCCCAACCACCACCTCCCACCCCCCACCATGGAGTTGTGTATATGAAAGATGAGTTTTCCTATTGTAGATTCCATGGGGAAAAGTTGGGGGACAGTACAGAGCTTAAAGGCATTTCAGCAAAGTTAAAAACTGACACAGACGTGCAGAGATTGTGTGCCATGTTTCCCACCCCAAAACAGCTTGGGGCCTCACCTCTCCTGCCTCTGGACCCCTTTCTCTGGATATAGGAAATCTGAATGCTGTTTTTGTGGACTCCAAAGATTTTAAATGGCAGCATCAGAGAATTAGAAATACCGGTCGGTGAAATAAAAAGTTTAGGCTTTGCTGGCCTGTCTTTTGAAGCGTGTTCTGTGCAGCTGACACATCTCACTTATGTGAGTCATCAGGGTATTAGTCTTCTAGTCCATTATCTGTATGTGTGCTTCCTTAAAGTTGGAACTTAAAATGAATGTTGGGTCACTTTGGGTTGATGAACCGGCTACCACCATAAATCATGGTCAGTTACTGATTATGAAACTCAGTACAATCAATTATGTACTTTAGTGCTTTGCAAGTGTAGCTCAGCTGACATCACATGAAACTGAAGTAGTTTGAAGGAATATGGACAGGTAGGAGTAAAGCCTCCATGCTTTGCCTTTGCCAAGCACAAGCTCTTGTCACAATAACCCCTGAGTAAAAACATTGGAATTTGTAGTCCTGTGATCTACTGGTTTTGGGGTAGGTGGGAAGAAACCCTTCACTATTCTTAACTATAACTTCTTGGAGGGTAATAGAGTGGGCGGGTAGAAACATTTTAAGTTCTTCCCAGAGGTAAAGTTAACAAAGTTCTGATGGCTTAGAGAAAGGAGGGGTGAGTGAGGTGGGCAGGAACTAAATTTGCCTAGCCCTCTTCCTAGTGAACTCAGCAATGGTGGGGAGGAAAGCACTGGAGATGAGAACCGAAGGAAATGTCTGCCTGTATCAAGGTGTTTACAATAACAGAAAAGAAAGAAAACCTAGTTTTTGGAGAACCACATTATCTTATTGTAAAAAAAAGGTTTGGATTCAGATCTATGCCGATGAGCATAATCACATCTGTTAATGATTGCCACCGAGACCCTTGCAGACCTAATCAAAATCACCATCCCATTGGGTTGCATGTGCATGTTACAGTGAGCAAATAGAACTGTGGTGTTACATGTAGGGTTATTCACGTAGGTCTTGGATGTGGGAAGTTTCAATAGCATGAGCATGGACTTACTGGGGAGTCTGATTCCCAATCAGTCATTTTACTTTGCCTAAAACTACAGGTATTTATGTTGCATTTCATTTCACTGCTTCAGATGTCTAATGCTGGAATAAATCCATTTCCCTAACTTCATTGTTCTTACTCTGAAGCCCATCAGCCTCACTCACTCTATTACACTGCTGATTTCCAGTCCATGGTTAAAGGAAGCCTGCTTCTTGGGTAGTGAGTGCCCAGAGCCAAATGTGAAGGAGGCTCAAGTATGGTTTCAGGTGGCACCAGACATTGCTCTGGTCCCCAGGGTATCTCTCCTGCCTCCAGGACAGCAGGAGGCCAGTTCTTTTATAGCTACATAGGCATTACATGCTGACTCCCCACATTACAGTAGCAAAAATACCCAAATAGCACTACCTTTATCAATTTATTAAAATATTCTGTATTGAACTGCCTCAATTTTTAAACTATATGAAATTAGGGGTTTGGAAATAATACACATTTTCTAATACACATTAGTATTCTTAAAATCCTTAGGCACAACCAAAAATCATCTTTTATTTCGAATATTGGGAAACACTATCCACTTTGTTGTAAAACCTTTTTTTTTTTTTAAGTTAACTCCATGCCACATGCGGGGCTTTAACTCAAAAAGTCACATGCTCTACCACCTGAGCCAGCCAGGCACCCCCATCCCATTCACTTTAAAGATATAAAATAATAAAGATCTTTTGGGGTGCCTGGGTGGCTCAGTTGGTAGGGCGACTGACTTCACCTCAGGTCATGATCTCACAGTTCATGGGTTCAAGCCCTGTGTTGGGCTGTGTGCTGACAGCTTGGAGCCTGGAACCTGCTTCAGAATCTGTGCCTCTCTCTCTGCCCCTCCCCCACTCATGCTCTGTCCCTCTCAAAAATAAAAACATTAAAAAAAATTTTTTTTTTAATTAAAGATCTTTCCAGTTTGCACCAATCCAGAGTCAACACTCTGGGCTCTTGGATTCATTCAATTAATTTTCAAGCCATACTTGTCCAGCTTATCCTCATGAGTATCATGAAAGTTTGGCCAAATGCTTTGTTAAAACCGAGGCATTTTGGCTCCAATCTTGCCTTCATCTACTTGGGTATTGTAAAATCTGGGAGGCGGTGCACGGCTGTAGGCATTTCTTTAGTAAGCCAACTAAAAGACATTTGTAAATGTCTTCCCATGAGAACAGGCTAAGCGTAGGGAGGAGTGTTTTCAAGTATCCGGGTGGGTGTGTAAAATAAATAATGGTATTTTTTGACCACAAAAAGCAAGGATTGAGAGCAGAGAGAGCGACATGGCATACTGACTTTCAACAGTACCCTCATTTAGCATTTACTATTCATCATCGGCTATACATACACATGGAGTCATAGCCCACCCTGGCAGGATCATCCCTGAATGAAGCAGAGGTCACTCCCGGGCACCCATTCTGTAGTGTTCTCTGCATCTGTAGTCATCCTAAGGCATGGAACGGTAAGGTCTGAGATCCCACCTTGCCCATAGCAGCAGAATAGGATCCAGAGGACTAACCCAGGTACAGATGAAGACGGTGCAGATTGGCAGGCAGATTTAGCTCTGTCTGGAGACAGCATTAGGAACTAGTGCCTCCTGGAAGGATTCAGGATGGAAGGGCACAAACCTAGTGGGAAATCTCAATGATATGGAATCTGGGGGACAGGAGGTGGCATGAGGGACGCTCAGAAGTAGAGAGAGGGCAGGCATTCACATGAAGGAGTTCTTAAAAGATAGCCTGCAAAGGCCCCAGGTGCCTGGCAAGACTGAGTCAGGACCCAGGCCCTGGAGAACAACTGTAGTGCCTACAGTTTACAGAATAAGAAGAAAAATTAATGCAGGGACCCATTAACAAGAATTAGGTGACCTGGGCTAGAGATTGGGAAACAAATGAGAGTATGGTCATTAGTGTTAGAAACCACACCAAGGGTAACGTAGCCAGTGGTACAAGTTGTTGCCCAACCTAATCCAGTGTTGCCCTCAGGAGGCTTAATTATTTCCTGATTCAGGTTACTATTAGCCCAAGGAATGGAGGGTGGCATTGAACAGGCAGGTGGGACGCAAGTGGCCCCAGTTGATGGTGCAGAGTAAGAGCTGCATCTCAAGTTTATTTGGTGATAAAACTCGTTTCCCCCCCACTGCAACTATCCAAGATTGATGAAAGAGATTGCATACGTCTCCAAGAGAGAGACATACACTCGGGGGTCCGATCAATCTCTTCACTAGACTAGAAGCTCCCCTAGAGCAGAAACTGTCTTGATGGCCATTGCATCTAGAGTAGCAGGGCCTGGCACGTGCTCAACAAGTATTTATTGAGTACTTAAGGCAAGGCAAAATGCATGAACAAGTGGAGACAGTCTCTTGTAGGTGGGGATTCCATCAGGCTTGCCTAGAATTTTACTGAAACATCCTTTTAAACATCCTATAACATTTATTGTTTTTGTTCCATGATATCCAAGCAATCTTCTGATTAAAAAATGGATCCTCCTGGCTTCTTCATACTAGACATGAAGCTAATTTAACCACTAGCCATTGTATTTCGCCATGTATTTTATTATATTGACATCTGGTTAAGTACCTCGGTGACATGTGGATGAGGTGAGCAGCGACAGTCTCTGAGAAGACGAGCATCCGATTTCTGGTCCTCCATGATGGAGATTCCGATCCTGAAATATGGGACCTACTCATGATCTGAGATCCTCCATAGCAGGAAAAGGAAACTGGCGGATCATGAAAGTATCTGGCTACAGATCTATTTTGTTTATCCTTCATATTGTTATTGTTGTATTTTTAAAATATTGGCTCTCAGGTGTCCAGAATTGTATTCCTTAAATTCCTTAGGTTCATAACACATTCTCAGCATTGGCTCCTGTACTGGCTCAAACATGGTTAACCCACACAAGAATTCAGATTTTTGTCTTCTCTTGAGAAACTGAGGGACCTTCCAACGCTGAGTCTATTTCACCATATGGCAACCATTAGGGGTTCCTCAGAATGCTGTCCCTGTTCACACCAATCTCTACTGTCTCCTGAACAAGAGGCTTCATCTTAGTTGGTGGGTATCAGTGGGCTTGGACTGTTATCCTTCTAATGAAGTGTCCACTTTACCCATTTACATGACCTACCTGGCGAGTGTCATATGTGAGTTGGAGAACCCACTCTGCTGAGCAACTGTCTCGGCATCCTTAGTAACAGCTACCGTTCACTGAGCCCTTTGATTCCTATAAAACCATAGGGGCTGTTTTACGAGTGTGGAAGCTGAAGCCCACAGAGCTAAGTAACGCGGAGGTTCAAACCTCGCCCTGCCTGGGTCCAAGGCTGGGACTTTTAAACTTTATATCCCACTGCTTTCCCTAACTAATAATCTGCTAACAATGGAATGACTGCCTCCACATAGTGTGTCCTCCTCATACTCAGTCTCTGTGGCAAGAATCCCAGGAACTGGGCTGAACACTGCCCTGCCCTGGCCATGGCCCGTGGCGGACACCCACCGTGTGCCAGTGTGAGACTTAGCTGTTGCTTTGTTGGCTTTGAGGGAGGACGGGGGGGCGCTGGGGTCACTGTGACTCGGCAGCCCATTCATCACCGCCCTGGTTGTGTGTGTGTGTGTGTGTGTGTGTGTGTGTGTGTGTAGCCAGGCTATGCGAGCACTGTCTGGGGGCTGTGTCCAGGGAAGTTCCTATAAAGCGACTCAAGCCCTTGCAGCTCTCAGACCTTTGAGATGGGGAGACTGTTGCTGTGGGTTGGTGAGTATGGCAGTCCCCGGCCCCTACATGTCGCTCAGTCCAGAAGACAATAGGCTTCCTACGGTTATCGCCTCTCGAGCACCTGAGAAGCAGCCTAGGACTCAGGGACCAGCTGAGGTGGAGGTGGGATGGGACGCGGTGAAGAGACAGAGGGGCCCAGGCAGGAGTCGTCTGAGCAGCGGTTCTCAAATCCAGCTGCCCATTAAATATCTTTATGCCCGATTCCACCTTGGACCAGTGAAATCAGAATCTCCAGGGGAGGAACCAGAGAATCGCTTTTTATACTTGCAGCCGGGGTGAGAACCACTGGCCTATGGCTTTCGCTAGGACTTACTTCTAAGTCGTCGCTGTTCCTATGCGGAGCATGTGTGTATCCACGTGGTGTTCGCTGGGGTTAAATAAAAGCTTTGACAGATTCAGCTCCATTGGCTCAACTTGGAGAAGAGGAAACAAGTGAAGGGAGGGTGTCGCCGTTTGTGCATCTGTATCTGGCTCTGGGGCCGGATGGCCGGTGCACTGGGAGACCGGAGGGTGGGCTGGGGCGTGTCACTCGGGGCGTGCATGTGAATCGGAGTGTGATTCCATCCTCTGTTTCCTGCAGGGCTGTTTCTCGTGCTGAGACACCACGATGGTAAGGAAATGGTGTCCTCCTCTCCGGAGCAGGGGGCTCCTCCAGCTGGGGAGTGCTGTGTTGAGTGTCTCCGGCAGCCCCTCCCTGCCCTGGCCCCTGACACGGTTCATCCATTGCAGTTCAGCAGAAGAGTTTCAGGAACCTGCCACTTGTCACTGTATTGGCAGGGTCCAGACTTGAGGATCCATCCTGATCAGGATTTTATAAGGCATTCTTTTCCCCCATGGGCCTCAGCAGTTGGGTGGAGGGGGTATCAGACCCCAGTATAGCTTTGGGGTGTGTTTGTACGGGGGGACGGGGACGTTATGGTGGCCTGGCCTCTTGGGCTGTGTTCACACTGCTCTGTGGAAGCTGAGCTCCATCCTCTCCCTGGGTCTCTGCCAACTAATGCGTGTTCTCCCTTGCCAGGTGCTGCCCACAAACTGGTGTGTTATTTTGCCGGCTGGGCTCAGAGTCGACCCGGCCCCGCCTTGATCTTGCCCCGTGACCTGGACCCCTTTCTCTGTACCCACCTGATATTTGCCTTTGCCTCAATGAATGACAATCGGATCGTGGCTAAGGGTTTCCAGGATGAGACAATTACCTATCCAGAGTTCAACAGGCTCAAGGAGAGGTGCGTTCAGACTGCATGTGGGGACCGTATTTTTCGATTTTACAGACCGAAGAAAATTACGCCCATTTCTCTTGTAACTCATCAACTCCCTTCTGATTCTTGTGCTCCTAGCCTCCTCTCAAGTGGGGCTCAGGGGCATCCCTGCCCGAGAATTCCCTGGTGAATAAACACCCTGAGCTCATTCTTGCCCCCTTGACTCTCTGTTGCCTCTGCCTAGCAACCCCCAGCTCACCCTTCAATACAGTGGGGAGGAGTTCATGCACTAATGCTATTAAGATGTTTCAAGGAGGGGCACCTGGGTGGCTCAGGCAGTTTAGCATCTGAGTTCAGCTCAGGTCATGATCTCATGGTTTGTGGGTTTGAGCCCTGTATCAGGCTCCACACTCACAGCATGGAGCCTGCTTGGGAGTCTCTCTCTCCCTGCTCTTCCCAAACTTGAGCTTTCTCTCTCTCTCAAAATAAATAAACTTTTAAAAAATGTTTAAAAAATGCACACACACAAAAAAGGGATTCAAGGAGGGCCCGCATATCACAGATGCTTCCCAACTGCTAGTGTTTTTGTTACCATTTGTCATCTGCACTCCCCCCCTTCCCCAGGTAGAGAGGCCCCCAAGGGAAGGGGCAGTGTCTTCTATATGTTTGCAGACCAGCGGTTAGGTGAGTGCCTTGCGCAGAACTGGTGCTCAGTGAGTGCTTGTATTCCTGTCCCCAGAACTCTTGGGTTCTCCCCCTGTCCGGGGAGAGGTCTGTCACTGTGCCAATGGTTATAGATGGCCAGGGTAAAAATCCCATGTCACTAGATCACAAGCTCCCTGAGATCAGGGCTTGTCTGTCTTATTCTCTGTTGTATCACAATCAGGCACCTAAAGCAATCAATGGTGTATAGTAATTGCTCCATAAATATTTGCTGACTAAGAAAACAGTGAAGAGAAACATTTTTAGACTTCTTCTTTTCCTCTGCATGAGAGCATCATGAGATGTGGGAGAGCTTGGTGGACTCTGGACAACCTGGGAGGTCGGGTTGTGATGATGCCTGGGCTGAGTGTTCTCCTCTCCTTTCGTTCCTTTTCTTCCGTGTTCTCTGCTCTGCTCATCTCTCTCCTTCCCTCCACCTGGCTTCATCTTTCACTCCCCGCCCCCCTAACTTTCCACTGCTCCCCAAGGGCCCACTGGAGGGACCCAGCTTACCTCCCTCTATCCCACGTCACAGGAACAGGAAGCTGAAAACCCTGCTGTCCATTGGTGGGTGGAACTTTGGCACATCCAGGTGAGACTTTGCCTCCCCTCCCTGTTACTTGAATTCCCCACTCCTGGCTATTTAGCCCCCCAGGGCTGGGAGGGGCTTTTAGGAAGGGTTGAGAATTTCAAAGACCTGCCTTTGTCTCTGGGCCCTCTGCAGGGTGCAAACCAAGGGGCTTTGGGGAGGTAGCGGTTCTGAGGAAAACCTTCCTCAACCCTCCCCACCCCACCCCCACCCCCACCCCCACCTCCTGCAGGTTCACCACTATGCTCTCCACATCAGCCAACCGGGAAAGGTTTATTGATTCCGTTATATCCCTCCTGAGGACACATAACTTTGATGGGCTGGACCTCTTCTTCTTGTACCCTGGAGTAAGAGGCAGTCCCAGGAATGACCGATGGACTTTTCTCCTCTTAATTGAAGTAAGGCCAAGTCTGGCAGCTGCAGAATTCAGAAATGATTCTACTTTGGACATATCTGGGCTCAGGGTGTGGGAGCAGCAGAAGGCCAGGTGGGGACAGGGGCAGGAGAGCGGTAGCAGAACGTTCCCTTACTGCCATTCTAGAGGTGTTGGACCAAAGAGCAAGGGTCCTTGTGGTGGCTCTTTTTCTCTGTCACATCTGGGTCCTGCTCGACACTGCAGCCCTAGTGATGCCTCCTTTGTGCGCTTCCTGGGCTCCCTCAGGCAGCCTGTGCTCCCGACCCTGCCTGGCCACCTCTCTATTAAGTCACTTACTCATTGGCTCCAGGCTGCCTGCCAGAGGCCGGCTCTGACAGGTCCAGGGGTCCCTGAAGGATGGATGGTGTCGGCGAGGGAGTGAGAGAGCCCCGAGATTCTTTCTGATCACCAGGCAGGCATCTCTGTCCTGTCAGTTTTCGTGTCTTTATTTAAAGGTTCAGCAACAAGATGAAGTCATAGAAAGGAATTTCTTACAATGGGAGGCCTTTTGTGGTATCAATTGCAGAATTATTCCAACCAAGGAAATAACAGAATGTTCTTAGTGAAAAACAGGATAACATATAGGTCAAATTGTATATAGATAAATTAGGAGTATTTTGTCTGGCTCTCAAGAAGATGAATGTTTCTGAATTGGTTTGTTTGTGGAGACTAACATGGGGGCCCTGAATGGGTCAGTCTTTTGCCCCTGGGTTATGTTTACTCTTATCTATCCTCATCCCAGCTGCCAGTGTAAGAGAGGGTGTTTGAAGAAAGTAGACCTTGAGGAAGGGACTGTTATGTTTCACCAATTAGCAAAGATAAATATGGTAACTATGTTTTGCTCTTAACCCCAAAATAGGCCCTTGGTTTCAGGGCCAGGCTCAATTGTAATTCTTGTGTTCTTAACCCCCTAAGTCTCGGATCTTCAAGGCCCATAGGAAGAGCCTTTTGACAATCGCCCATAGAACTTTCATCTAAAATCTGTTTTGTAAAGGCAGGAATATGCTTTTCCTTATGAGGTATCTGTATTCAGAATATGGGTCTGATATGGAATATTGTGAGGCCTGGTCAATATCAGCAGGCTTATATCCAACATGAGCCAATAGTAGCAGAAGGAGATACCAGTTTTCATTTCTCATGGTAGGAGCTGCAAATATTGCCACTTCCTTGCTGTGATTGCCATCCAGAGAGGCCGGTGTGGCTCCCGGCAGCTGCCTTTCTCATGAGCCTGGGCAGGGGCTGTGTCTGACTCACCTCCATGTCCCTAGAGCCTGGCTCAAGGGGCTCTGTAAATAAAAGTATTCTGGACCATACTTTCTTTCCCTGACTTTTCTGTCTGAGTGCCTGCATCGCCTCTCTCTTGGCAGGAACTCCTGTTTGCCTTCCAGAAGGAGGCGCAGCTTACCAGGCGTCCCAAGCTGCTGCTCTCTGCTGCCGTCTCTGGGGACGAACAGATCATCAGAACAGCTTATGACGTGCGCCTTCTGGGAAAGTGAGTGGGTGCTGCCTGGTGGGACGGGAGTGAATCAGAACCATGGCGCTGCACAGGCACTCTGCCTGTGAGCTCTCCATGAGCGGGCGCTATTTGGGGAGGGGGGGAGGGGCAGAGGAGGAACATAGGTGGGGACAGGGATCAGTTTCTTTAGGAGCCTGGACGGGGTTGTAGAACCAATGGCCACAGTCACTTCATCGTGAGCAGAGACTTCTGCAAAGCCCTTTACTGAGTCTCACAGGAGAGACTACCAGGTGGCCCAGCCTCTGCTGTCCCCGGGTACAGGCGTAGACACACACCGTGCGGCATGTGGCTGACATCAGAGAGGCCGAGGAGTCAGCAGCCACTGCCACAAAAACAAAACGAGGAATGCCCAACCAGGTCTAGCCTTCAGAGCGTGGTGGGGTGGGGGTGGGGGTGGGGGGCTCTGCAAAAAAGTTACAAAGCTAAACAAAAGATCACTCATAACTTACTCTTTCTGGACATGCCAGCTCTGGGCTACTTTTCTTGAAGCTCAGGAATCAAGTATTTACAGATGAGGCAGGAAGGCCGATGCAGAACAAGAGAGAGGATGGGGGAGTTTCGGTGTGTGATCACGCCGGGGAGCCTGGCTTCGGCGTGGGGACAAAAGGGAGGGACCCCATGGGACATAGAGTTTGTCAGCATTGGCCTTAACAGCCAGGAAGGCCAGCTGGGTGACCTGAGGCCAGTCAGGTAACCTCAGAGTCTCAACTGCTTCAGCTCTAAAATGGAGAGCAAGGGTACGGAGGCCAATGGCCAGATTAAAATTGAATGATGGAATCTGGTGCACCGGTGCACTGGTGACCTGGGAAGTACTTAGTTGCACTTGGTCATCCTGAAAGTGTTCTGGAAGAGGGGGCTTCACTGGTGTCTGGAAGGATGGAAGGATGGAAGCTCTCTAGCTGCCATGGGGCAGTACCACCTTCCTCATGACAACTTAGGCGACCTCCGTTGGCCCTTGTGTCAGCCGTGAATGTGTTTTCTTGTCCGACTGCCATCTACTTCCATGGAAACGGCCGGGGTCCTCATGCACGCCTATCCTAACCAGCATTTTTCTGCGGTGACACATCTCAAGTGGATGGCACAGATGGGCGGGCACCCCAGGCCGAAAGGGGGGAGAAGCTCGAGTGGCCAACGCACAGCCAGTCGGCTCATTAGTCCTAGGGCGATCTGACTTGAAAATCGAGGTAGCCCCGTCTCCATACCTCCCCCTGCTGCCCTTGCAGACTCCTGGATTTCATCAATGTCTTGTCTTATGACTTTCATGGGAGCTGGGAAAAGTTCACAGGACACAATAGCCCCCTCTTCTCTGTGCCTGGAGACTCCAAATCTTCGGTAAGGAAAGATCTTGAGGGATCCAGACACCCGCCCCTGGGCCCAGGCCATTGGCTCTCAGTAACACGGAGGGGTTTGTGCTCTTCGCACCTGCAGGCACATGCCGTGAGATGCTGGCGGAGTCTGGGGGCACCCGCAGAGAAGCTCCTCATGGGGCTGCCCACCTACGGACGGACCTTTAACCTCCTTGAAGCCTCTAAGAATGGGCTACGGGCCAAAGCCCAGGGAGCTGCGCTTTCGGGAAAGTACACCAAGCAAGATGGTTTCTTGGCTTATTATGAGGTGACGGGAATAGGGACCTCTGTCTATTAGTCAGGGCTCCTCCGTCCTCTGTCGGGGAAGAGCAAAGACAACTGGGCAAAGGCAAGGGTGACGGCTGGAGGACAAAGAGGTAGTTTGCGGGAAGGGCCCCGCAGGGCGAGGATGGCAGGTGCGGAGGCCCATGGTGTGCGAGGGCGCTTCAGGTAGGAGTGGGGGTGCAGTGCTCTGTGCTGACTGGATAGGGCAAGAGAAATCCACTATCTGAGATATTTCCCTCTTCTTTATCTGAGAAGTTGTTTGAGGTCCTTGTAAGGGATGAGGGGCTGGGTGAAGTCTAAATGAAGGGGGACAGGTATTTCACCCCTAGAGAGAATCTTAATGGTTATACAAGTCAATCCTGACTTACTTTCTGGCCTAAATAAGAACTGTTAGTACTTGAATTATATATAACTTCAAATATTTGCAAAAGTGAAAGAATAGTATCATCTCCTCCCCTCCTCTGCCACCATCACTCATGCCGCACCAGCGTCAATCTCTAATCGCTCCTGGGCCATCTTGTTTCATCTCTGCTCCTTGACTCTCTCCCTCCCACTATGAGATTATGTTGAAGCAATTCCAAGGTCTCCTCTACTACAGGCTCTTTCCTCTTACCCCAGTCCCACTCCCTGAATCCCCATCTCAGCAAAGCTTGCTACTGAGTGAAGGAAAGAGACATGGACCCAAGGGACTATAAAACACAAGAGAGGACAGTAAGAGGCACAGGGATCTGGAAAGGTCTCATTGAGCAGATAGCTTTAGAGCAGGGCTCTGGAGCACAGGAATGATCCTGATGGGCAGGAATGCCAGGAGGGAAGGGCCCTGCAGGCCAAGGATGGCAGGTACGGAGGCACATGGTGTGTGGGGGTGCCTCAGGTAGCAGTGGAGGTGCAGTCGGACTGGATAGAGATGTTTCCTGCTATTCCAGTAAGTGCGGTTATGCGTGATGGCATAGTTGAAAAAATGGTTTTGAAAGACTGTATAGACCAAAGAGATGTTTGATAGGCAGAACCTTGAAAGAAAGGGAAGGAAGGAAGGAAGGAAGGAAGGAAGGAAGGAAGGAAGGAAGGAAGGAAGGAAGGAAGGAAGGAAGGAAGGAAGGAAGGAAGGAAGGAAGGAAGGAAGGAAGAAAGAAAGAAAGAAAGAAAGAAAGAAAGAAAGAAAGAAAGAAAGAAAGAAAGAAAGGAGAGGAGAGGAAAGGGGGAAAAAGCCTCAGACATTAACTTCTGCAACCCCCTTGAATACTTCTGCTTCTTTGTAGCATATGGTTTCTAGCACAATGCCAGGCACCTAGTCAATGCCCACATGCTTGACTGATTGTAACAACCCAGTTCATCTTACCTCTGAGAAACCTTAAATTAATTAGAGGGTCACAAGCTAGTTGGACAGCCTCCGAGACTGGGCCCCTTCGTGCTGATTTCTAAAGACAGGAGAGGTTTGTTAACGGTAACTCTTTGAAAAAGATACGGGTTTGGTCAAGGGTCAGATAGGTTACCGTTTGTAGTTTGATATTGGAATTATTTAGCAAACCCTGATTTGGTTTCTAAGGATGTCAGCCAATCCTTGTTTCTCTCTCTCTTTCCGCCACAGACACTAGAGATAGGAACATATTTTAGAAGGAATTTGCTCAGAAATGAGAGGAGGTCCTTTGTGCCTGGCTTTCCCCTCCCTCTTTGGTCTGCCCCTTCTCATTCCCTGGTTAGGGATTCTTGGATTCGTTGTCACTGGGAAAAGAGCTATTTGCCTGCTGGTGCTTGTCTCCATGGTACTTCCCAGAACTAACGGTGATCCCCCTGGTAGATTTGCTCCTTTCTCCAGAAAGCGATGAAGCGCTGGGTGGATGATCAGTGTGTCCCATATGCCTACAAGGGGCACATGTGGGTTGGCTATGATGATGTCGTCAGCTTCAGACACAAGGTAAGACCATGGTCCTTTCTTCCAGCGTATAGTTTCCCTCTGATTTCCATGAGGCTCTTATCTGTACAATGTGTGTGTGTGTGTGTGTGTGTGTGTCCTTGGGAAGAGATGAAAACATGAAGTTGACTAGATCAGGTGAGTTTCAGTCATACCTGACCTAACTGGAGTTTTCTAATCCCGTCTACCAACCCTTTTCTTCCTCTTCTTCTTCTTCTTCCCCTTCTTCTTCTTCTTCCCCTTCTTCTTCTTCTTCTTCTCCTTCTCCTTCTCCTCCTCCTCCTCCTCCTCCTCCTCCTCCTCCTCCTTCTTCTTCTTCTTCTTCTTCTTTAACTTTTAAGGAGAGAGATAGAGAGCAAGTGGGGGCAAGGCAGAGAGAGAGTGGGAGACAGAATCCTAACCAGGCTCTGCATTGTCAGCACAGAGCCCAATGTGGGGCTCGAACTCAAAAACCGAGAGATCATGACCTGAGCCGAAATCAAGGGTCAGATGCTTAACTGACTAAGCCACACAGGCGCCCCTACCCTCTTCTTTGGAAGAAAAGGAGTCTCCATTCTGAGGGGAGAAATGACTTCCCTAGGTTTACCCAGATTTTTGGCAACAGTTTCTTTTGTGCTGCTTGGGCCAGATAACTTCATAACGGATAAATACCAATATGAGGAAGATCATGCTAAGCGCTCCATGAATATCACTGATATGTGTCAGGAGTAGGAAAGCCAGGGAGGGCTTCCTCAGGGAAGAGAGCAGCAAGAGGAGATAATGACCTGGAGAGAGGCTCAGTGGGTGCTGAAAGCGCATTCAAAGTGAGTTCAAAGAAGAATTTGGGTGGGGCAGAGAATTTTTGTAAAGTGTAAGAGACGACAGCAAAGTGCAAGTCAGTTTATAGAGGGACCTGAATGCGGGCAAAGGTATTTGGACCTCTTCTTGCAGGCATTTTAAGGCAAAATCAGCTTTCTGTGCAGGTGTAAGACCTGCAAGTTTGAAACCTTTAGAAACTAACTGTGAGCACCCCTTCGTCCCATGCAAGCAATGTTAAACAAATTGAGTCTGGCAAGGTTTGTATATGGAATTAAAACAGAAATCACATGCTTTGGTGATTTCTGAACCTCCCTCTCCTTTGGAACCCCCTGAGACTTGATAAATGCATCCCTGAATATTCTGCAAGTCTTAGAATCTGGGAACTGTTTTTTACTATGTTCCTCTGTGATCCCGCTGTAACCGGTTTGGCATCTGGGAAGCTCAGAGGGACTCGGGGGTGTGCCAGGGACATCCTGAGGGCGGGACCAGGTGGTTGCAAGAGGAGGTAGTGTCTGAATGAGAAACTGTCAAGACTTAGCAACTGCCTGGATATGGGGTTTCATTAGAGAGAAGTCACAGTCTCCTCTCAGTGATACAGGAGCGACGGGGGCTTGATGTTCTTTTCAGGAAGTTTGGGGTAGAGAGCACAGGTGACCAGGAAGTATTTGTGAAGATCCACCACGTACCTTATCTGTGCACACCACTGGGGGAGGCCCGCTGCAAGGAGAGAGGTGGAAAGCATGGCCTTCAGCCCCCAGGATCTTATTCCAGTTTGGGAACCAAGGACACACACAGAAAATTCCAGTGACTCAATGGAATCACCCAGTTGGATGGAATTCAATATATGACCCACAGGACATGGGAGAGGGCACTGACCTGTGCATGTCCGGGGAAGCCTGAGACCAGCAGGCCTGGTATTTTCGCTTTGAGGGGCAGCTACCATGCCTTGCAGAGCTAGAGGGGAATGGAGCCCTGTGGGAGGGTGATTAAAGGATTGCATCACAGAATCCCAGAGCTGGAAGAAACCTCAGAGGTCATCAGTGGGAGATAATTATCCCTGGATTTCTCAGTGATGCTGCCCTGTCTGGGCATTTTGAGCAAAAGAAACAGACCAGCTATGATAACAATAGAAAGCTGCCTTCCCCTCTTCCCCCAGAGCCTTTGCTGACTTTCAGAGACTATAGAAGTCCCCTCTCCAGAGAGGACTTGTCTACATCCCAGTGAAGCTTTCAAACTCTCCGGAGGGGAGAAGGGTCTGATTTGCCAGCTGTCCTATGTAAGCTCAAGTCTCATAGTTTCAGGATCCTTCTGTGCCGCAGACCTCACTGCACATGCAGGTGTATATCTGGCCTTCACCATGTCATTCTTTGGGCACCTGGGGCATGGGAAGCAAAGTCAAAGTGCTATTCTGATTGGTCTTTTGCTGTGAGTAATAATGGTCTGTTCTCTGATCCAGAGATCATGTGTGCGCACATGTAAACTGGTGGCTAACTTGGTGCTTTGCAAGCAGCATAAAATCTCCGAATCTTGGCAATTTCAGCTTACCTATAATTGGGTTCCTTCTTCTTGTTTTACATTTGGGGAACATAAATCCTAGAAAGGTACCAACTGATTTGGCCAAGTCATGTAGCTATTTGGATGGGATGGAGTTTGTCTTTTCCATCACCTGTGACAGAGAATACAAGCAAAGTAGTAATAGAGCCCGGATTTGGGTCTAAACCCTGCCATTTAGTTATAGCTGAGGTTTTTTTTTTAATGGTTTGTAAAAATTTTTATTTTATTTTATTTTACTTTATTATTTTATTTTATTTAAGAGAGAGAGATGCAGAGGTGGGGAGAGAGAGAGAATCCCAATCCACACTGAGCACGGAGCCTGATGGGGGGCTCAATCTCATGACCCTGAGATCATGACCTGGGCTGAAGTCAAGAGTCAGATACTCCACTGACTGGATCACCCAGGCACCCCTATATCTGAGGTTTAAAAAATTATGAACAAAAGCCTTTATTTTCTTATCTGTGGAAAGGGTACAGTATTACCTGCTTTATCTCTTCTTTATGGTATCACTATGATATACGGTATGTGGAAGTGATTTTTTAAATAATATAGCAATATCTGTTTCTTAGCGTGATGATGATAATGATTAGCACTGGGATCCTGGTAAGACCGTTTTTATTATTTGTGGACATTTACTATGTGCAAGGTTTTGATCCAAATATTTTACTGGTAGGAGTTCTTTTTTTAAAAATCATTTTTAAAATTGTGGTGAAATATACATAAACATAAAATTTGCCATTTGGCCCATTTTTAAGTGTCCAGTTCAGTGCATTAAGTGCAGTCACATTGTTGTGGAACTATCACCACCATCGATCTATCTCCAGAACATTTTTTTTTTTTAGAGAGAGAGAATGTTAAGCAGGCTCCATGCTCAGTGCAGAGCCCAACGTGGGGCTTGATCCCACAGCCTTGGGATCATGACCTGACCCGAAATCATGAGACAGACGCTCAACCAGCTGAGCCACCCAGGCGCCCCATCTCCAGAATGTTTTCATCTTCCCAAACTGAAGCCCCAGTCCCTTCTCCCCTAGCCCCAGCAGTGATCGCCACTATGCTTTCCAATCATGTGAATGTGACTACTCTAAGTACGTCCTATGAGTGGAATCATACAATATGTATCCTATTGTGATGATGGGTTTATTTCACACAGCATAATGTCATCAAGTCCCATCCATGCTGTCGCATATACATGTAGGAATTCTTTGATTCCTAAAAATACCGGAAATGCTTTTGTATAAATGAGCCAAAGTTTTGTGTGACCTCCTCAAGATCCCTTAGCTAATAAGTGGTAAAGGCTAGGTTCAGATCCAGGCTGTACTGCCAACCATGCTACTGGTGTTTTCTGATGGTCCATCTTCAGTGTTTTGCCATTGCACCCAGACTGGGGGATGGCCAGCATAGCAGGTTGACTGACTACTACTTTTTCAGGCAATGTTCATAAAAGGACAGAATCTGGGGGGAGCCATGGTGTGGACATTGGACCTGGATGATGTCAAGGGCACTTTCTGTGGTGCTGGCCCTTTCCCCCTTGTCTCCACATTGCATAGTTTTCTGGTGCAAGCTGGTAAGTAGCTATGGCTTGGAAGTGGGGCTGGGGGTTGTATAGCCAGACTCTGGGTGGGTGCCTTCTGTTAGATCTGAAGACTTTGGTGGGACAGTATGACACTGAAGGAAGAGAATAAACTCTGACGTTAGGCCAGTCCATTTTCTGGATTTAGAGGCACGCTCCATTTGACCCTCTGAGCTTTGTTTTCCCTATTTGTAACATGGGAATGATCCTCATACTGAGGACATTATTATAAGAACTATATGAGATAAGGAATGAAAACTACTGACTCAATGTTAGCACTCAACATACGTCAGTTTATTTCTCTGTGGCTTCCTCCTGTTTTCATGGGACAAGAGCCAGAAAAAGAAGTCAGATTTCTGTTGATATCTCTTTGTTAGTAGAGACTGCCCTGGTAGTTAGGAGATGGAATCCAGCATGCTAGAGCTGAAACATCCTTTGAGATGATTTATAACCATCATTTTATGGACAAGGACACTGGGGCTCAGAAAGACAACACTTGCTAGTCAAGGGCAGGGAGGGGAATGCAACCCAATTCTTTACAAAATGCTGTCCAGAGTGGCCTCCTTGCCCTCTGCATTGGGCCTGGTGCCTTCTACCATGGGGGACACAGGAAGTTTCTGTCATTAGGCCCTGGAGGCAGCAAGGTCTTGCTGAAGGTGTCATCAGTGAGGTCAAAGTCAGGCCTTATGCATAGAAAACTGGCAGGCTTCTTGGGGTCATTCCCCAGAAATGTAGGTCTGCTGAGTGTCCTTAGGTTCCTGGGATCAGGTCAACATGAGGAGGTGAAGGAGCAGGGCTTCAACGTGGTGGGATTTTACCTATGCTCCCAAGTAGGTGCGTTATGAAATCCTTTGGTTCTGGATTTGGGGAGCGAGTACTTCAGGCCAGAGGGGTTGTAGTCCTCCCAGTAATTAACAGGATGGGAAGGAAGCGGTGGGAGTCTGACCCTGTTCTAATGATTTCCTCCAGACTTCAGCTCAACTCCTTCACCAAAATTTTGGCCCTCACCTGCTATGAGTTTGTCAAGAACTGATCCTGCAAGGCGAACCGTAACCAGTGAAATGGGACCTTTGTCCTCAGGAGGAAAGTCTACGGCTTCCAACACCCTTAGGAAGTCTGCAGATATGACTAGAGGCCACCAAAGTGAGATTGTGACCCCTCCGGGCAAAACTATGTCCTTTGGAAAGTACATGGTAGCTGTGGAAGGGAAGACTGAGGCCTTTGGAGAGACCATTATGGTTTCTATGGAAAGTCAGACTAAGTCCCCCGGAGAGAAGATCGTGCCCCTTGGAAAGAGGGTTGTAACCCCTGAAATGATGACTAACCCCTCTGGAAATATGACAGTCATTCCTGACGGGCAGGCCAAGACCCTTAGAGGCGAGGCCACCACATCTGAGGTGAACACAGACCACCTGGTGGGGTACTTTGGTCTTTAGACAGAAGCCAAAAGCAGGAAGCCACCCTTTGGCCCCATCATCTAGCCCCAGGACACACTCATCTTGCTTTTGACAACCCCTGTGTTCCCATTAATGGGAGCGATTCCTCTGTCAGTTCGATGACCCTTCCAACAAGTGCTCTCTCTCTAAAGAAAGAAAACTCAGAAAACCCTGCTGTGGGTCAAGGAGCCTAAGCTCTGTTGAAAGCAGAAGGTGGGGAAAGGCCTTACCTTTTCTTGTGAGTTCTCTGACAGGAGCTGCTCTTACCCAGATATTCATAAGCCACTCACGGGTATGAGCAAAGCCGGGAGACACACTGACTTAATCTCTTTTCTGTTGAATAAACTGGAAACACAAGAATCCATCTGAGTTCCCTAGAGTTCTTTTCTTGAAAACTTGAGCAATGTGATTGTCAGCTCTGCCTTTCAAGTTCACTTTCCCTTACCGCCGTTTTTGGAAGGAGGGAGTTTGGGTCTAGCCCATGCTGATGTTTTCCAGCGTGGCTTATGTTGCTTCCCTCTCTGCCTTGAACAATACTCACCTTGCTGATGATCAGAGCTGGAACCTCTTCCAGGGAAGCTTCCCACAATCCTCTTATTTCACTCCAGGGTAACATCTTCTCCCATTAATACATCAGAACTACTCTTGCCAAGGTCACTGGTGATGCCCACGCTGTTACAGTGGTCAAGTCTCACTTCTGACATTCCTTGATGCAGCAGCAGCACTGACACATGTAGTCACTTTGTCCTCATCAACATGCTTTTTTAAAAATGTTTATTTATGTTTGAGAGAGAGAGAGAAAGTGCATGTGAGTGTGAGAACGGGTAGGGGAGAGACAGAGAGAGAAGGAGACAGAGGATCTGCAGTGGGTTGAGACCAGAGAGCCTGATGTGGGACTTGAACTCACAAACTGTGAGATCATGAGCTGCGCCAAAGTCACACCCTTAACAGACTGAGCCACCATGTACCCCACTGACACACTTTCTTAACTATGCTTCCGGGTTTTGATTTTGCCTGGCTGGTCATTCCTTCACAGTGTTCTATGCTGATTTCTCCTTTCTTGATCTCTTTCTGTTGGGGAGCTCCAAGTCTCTTCCTTGGGTCCCTTTTCTTCTGTATTTACATTCACGCTCTCTTGGCATTGTCATCTAAGTGCATCATTTAAACAGCATCTATATTATTGTCAAGAGATCAAAAGTGCAAAAGAACATCTGTAGTACCCTATCCTACATGTAAGAAAAAACTGCTCATTTGTGCTCAGAGCAATAGAGGAAGGAGAAACACGGAAATAATAGAATCGAAAACTGCAGGAGTGGGTGAGGGTGGTGCGGAGAGAATGGAGATCGGGAACGGGGTTCAAAGGATGGGGGGATGACACTTAGCTGAGTATGCGTATTTGTGTCACGTATTTACATGTGTATTTACATGTGTATTTACATGTGTAAAAGTGTCTGACTTTTCGAACCAGGAGAATGTTTCACATTCCACAAATAAATAAAATCAAGGATGGTTGTAGTGGTGCTAGAGCAATTCAGAATTAAACCACAAACAGTGACACCTGTACTTAGCATTAAAAACCACCACCAACATAATCAATCAAAGGAAATAGGGCAGAAAACAAACCTTAGTCACTTTGGAAAATGACATTTTGCCTATATATTGAGAGGCTGAAGATAAAGGAACTATGGATGAATACTGGCCTCTAACAAATTTGCCTTTTACAGGTATGTAAGGTAGCAATTCTGAAATTGCTGTCTGTATTCCAGAATTAAACATAGAAGGAGATCCACTGTGGGTAAGAAGGGCCATGTTTCTCACTGTCGGAGGAAAAAAGTTATAAATAGGAAAACAGAAAAGGCTAGAATGAACCCTGTGGTGTTAGACTCAGAAGTAGCAGTATGAAATCATGATTTAAAAAAAATATATATATGGGTTGGTTGAAAAGAGAAATGTGTATCCATAAATGTATTTCCTCCTTGGACCACTAGGAGGGGCTACAGCAATGACATTTTAATAGACCCAATACCTTGAAGAGAAGGAGCCAAGCACCCCTGGATAACTGGGGGAGAAGCCTATGTATGCTGCTCCCCTTTTCCCTCTCCTGGTGGATAATTCTGAGTGGAGGCCGCTGGGCTGAGGACAGTGGGTGATATTTCAAGAACCAGGCTTCCCCAAGACTTGAATCGCTAGCGGGAGAGAGAAGGCAAGTACTCAAATGATGTACCTCTGGGAACCCGCAGTGGCTGCTCTGTGCTTCACAGACATTATATCTCATGCTGAGGGAATCAGACTTCGAGAGCTCATGTACTAAAGTCTCGCTGCAAAGAAGCCTTGGTAAGTGCAACAATGGAGCCTGGGCGGGTTAAGGGATGACAAGTGGCCCGAGGCCGGCGATCAAGTCCCAGGATCGGCTGATAACGTATGACGCTGGCGGGCAAGGGGGCAGGACTAATGAGCAGGCACCAGTTGCCTCCGCACATGAAGGTGAGCTGTGGACACCATGTTAGGAGCTATTGTCACTTTCTCATTTGACTTTTGAAGGGTCACATAAAAGTTTCCCAAATGCTTGGTTTTTGTTGAGTTAGGAATACTGCCACTGGGGGGCAGCAGCAGACAGGGTTACATTTTCTCTGCAGGTAGGAAGAAAACTAGGCGAGCAGAAGAAAAGCAATTAGAATACTTTTGTACAGAAAATTAAATCAAAATAAATCTGTCATTATTGTTAAAGTCAACAGTTTTGCATTCATTGAAGCAGAGAGAGCATGAGCGCCTTGAGCTTAGAGGAGGGGTTGCGCTGATGTACAGGTTGAGTTCAGACAAACCAGACATGAAATCTCAGCTGTGTCTTTGATAAACTATGTGATCATGGGATAATTAAATCAGCTGCTAAGGTTGTGACAGTGGTTAAATGAAATATGTATCTGGTATAAGCATATCTTCTGTCAATCTTCATGTTTCCATTCAAGTATTTCTTGGGAAGCCTGGGTGGCTCAGTCGGTTAAGTGTCCAACTTCAGCTCAGGTCATGATTTCATGGTTCATGAGTTCAAGCCCCGTGTTAAGCTATGTGCTAACAGCTTAGAGCCTGGAGCCTGCTTCGGATTCCGTGTCTCCCTCTCTCTGCTCCTCCCTGACTCTCACTCTGTATCTCTCTCTCTCTCTCTCTCAAAAATAAATAAACATTTTAAAATTTTTTAAGAATTTCTTTCTATAAAGAAAAAAATATGATATTAGAACCTCTTTGGGTTTTGTGCATAGCTCAAAGTGTTCAGGAGTAGATTTATGACAAAGTTCCAATAATCTCTCGTGCTGCCATAACTTTACATAGGGAATCATTTTGAAAACCACATGCTTCTCAAAGACTACAATCTAGAAACCAGTGAAGTGTGTATAGAAGGCATTAAATGTGTGTCATTTCCAGGATTAAAATAAATAATGGTTCCTTAACTCTTTATGGAATACAGTCCATATTGCTCAGCATAGCATACCAGGTCTGCCTCACCATCTGGTCATGTCCATGTAGACACTTACTGCTGTGCTCCCAGAGTTTGATCCAGATGCTCCAAGGTGTGCTCCATCAGTATGAAGCACGATAATAAATAGTTCAATGGACTAGAAGTTAAAAGACTGTGGATACTGAATACAAACTACTTGAATACAGTTTTGTGGAATCAAGAGTATTCCTATTTTAGCATAATAGTCCTTTCCATTGCTGTGGGTCTGGAGTAGAAAATAATTTCCAGAGCTACAGTTAGCATGATGAGGACTGCACAGCCCCAGGGCCAGTCCTTCAGCTGGGTCTTGGCTTGCAAGGAGCCACGTTGAGATTTGCTCTTGTGGCCATGCTGGTCATGATGTTCTCTGACTTCATCACATCACTTTGCTCCTGGGTGCCATTGCCCAGGCTTTGCTTCTGCCTCCAGTGGCTTTTCCACCTTCCTTATTTTCTCATCCACCATCTGGCAAGATCCCTTCTCAAATGTTACCTCTTCTCTGAAGGCTTTCATTCCACCAGGATCTATCACTCCTTGTCTCTGCTTGCTTTATGTGAATGTTAGGGTGATCACATCACCTTGTAATTAGATTATGTGTCTGTCATTTGACAGGATGCCAACTTTGCATACCAGGACCATTTCTGAATTTTCTGTGCTCCTAGAGCTTAGTGCAAAGGTGAGCACAAAGTAGATATCCCATAAGTGTTGGCTAATTGTGAACCAAGAAATTAAAAATAAAGATCAGAGTGTCATGGACTGTGAGAATTGCATACAGGAGACTATAGATGAGTCTGAGGAGAGGAACAAGAAACTAAAATGGAAGAAGTGGAGAGTCTATTGTAAATTTCCAAACAACACATGGACTTTGGAGCCAAGGCACAAATTGTTCCATTGTTTTGGCAGAAGTTGCCAGCACCCATTTCCCACTAGATGTGGGCACCAGGATCCTTTGTCTCCAGTGCATTTCACATTTGTTATCACATCCTAATCTCTGGATTCCATCAGTAAAGCCACTAATTGCTGTTTAAATTGATTAAATATGAAAGGCCATGGTAATTATCAGAGGGAAAAACAAACAGAATCCATGGATCTGTAGGGGCACAAGTGGGTACAAAGGTTAAGAAACTCACGTGCTCTCAGATGAAAAGAGCAGGGAAATCAGGGTATAAAAGAGTGACCCAATTTCCCTCTGTGTGTCCCAACCCTTGGGTCTGCTACTGCGTCCTAGGTGTCTGTGGGCCATTGACATCAGCACCATGAAGATCCTGGTCTTGGTGTTGGTTTGTCTACACCTCTCAGAGGGTGTGGAAAGGTTTGTATGGGGGTTTAGCTTTGGCCCTGAGGGAGGATCAGAAGTTATGGTAGAGCAAAGGCCTTCTCCTATAGATCTCATGGATAGGCAGTCAGATCATAGTTTGGTACCATGAACTGAAAAACCAAGGAAGCCAAGACTTACAATGGATGGATGGTGTGTGTGTGTGTGTGTGTGTGTGTGTGTGTGTGTGTG